ACAATTCAGAAGAGCTAAAAGCCACTATTAGAGCAACCTGGGCTATCATAACACCTGAGCAGTGCCACAGACTGATCGACTCCATGCCACGCCGCATTGCTGCAGTAATACAGGCCAAAGGAGGCCCAACTAAATACTGAGTACTGTACATGCTCATACTTTTCATGTTCATACTTTTCAGTTGGCCAACATTTCTATAAATCCTTTGTTTTTATTGGTCTTCAGTAATATTCTAATTTTCTGATATGATGAATTTGAGATTTTCATTTGTTGTCATTTGTAATCATCAAAATTAAACAAAATAAACATCTGAAATATATGAGTTTGTATGTAATGTATGAATATAATATACAAGTTTCACTTTTTAAATGGAATTACTGAAATCAATCTACTTTTTCATGATATTCTAATTTTATGACCAGCACCTGTATATTGCTTATTCTTAATGCACCTTTTTTAAGTACTATGCCAATATGTGACGAGCGAATTTCTCCGCTGTGAGATCAATAAAGCTCATCTAATCTAATCTAATCTAATCTAATCTAATCTAATCTAATGTTAGCAAAAAATTTTCTTGGCCAAGAGTGCGAACTGGGAATGTGATCTCTAAAATTCAATCTGAAAGGAATCCAATTTGTAGAAACCCTTTCTGAAAAAAAGATAAATTAACAAATATAAAAATTCTCTTTAACAAAAAAAATTGGAATTTAAACAAAAAATATTTTTTTAAATGAAAATAAAGTTACTTTCACTTATTTTAATTTATTAAATCTTTAAAAGGTTTATTTCTGGGTTGCATTTTTTTTTATAATTTAAATTAACAAACATGTTTTTTACTTACAACAATAATGGCACCAACCCACTCTAGAAACATTTATCTAATTTAGAAACTTTTGCAGAAGTTGCTCAAACCGGATTTATTTTTGGAGGTGAAAAGGTCAGAATTGGGCCTTTGAGACGTGATAAATATCAGGAGGGATAATTTGCTCCATGCTGTGTGGTTGCAGTCCTAGAGACCTTGCTAAGTTTAAACGTCTTAACTTTATGATCAACAGCCGCGCCCTGCTGCGCTGACACAGCCTGTTAAAAACGACTCCACCTGCATTTAGTCCTGCAGGACGTGAGAGATTCTTCCAAGCCTTTCTCAATTTAGCAAAGTTATTTTTAGAAGGTTTGGTTCTTTCACATCTAGATCATGATTGTTGCATAACTCTTTTAATTTATTATGAGGAAATATAACCCATACAGATTCAGCAATATCCCGACAAAAAGCCGATAATTGATCATTTGATCATTCTCATCATGTTCAGCCTTTATTTTCCTCTAATGTCCAGCTTAGATCAGTCTGATTATAGGAGTTTTAGCTCTGAGAGTCACTTATGAAGAAACTGATCCGACAATCTGTTCATCATAAAATCCTGCAGATAGAAACTAAATATTTGGATCTCTGCAGAGATTTTTAACAAAACTTCTCCATCATCGACGTTTAACAACCTCCTCCTCTCCTCCTCAACTTTGCACCTCCTCTTCCTCTCCTCCTTTTCCCCTCAGAATGAATTGAAGTGATCTGGATCATCAGGAGTGGGCTGATGAATGTCGACCAGCTGCTTGATGGATGGAAGGATGAAGTTGGAAAGGTTTTCATCTAGAAAAAGACGCTGTTTCTATTTTTGTCCCAAATAAAACAATCATTGCTGCTGGGATTCTTCAGCAATCTCTGTCCCAACTGATGAAGCACATCAACGCAGGCGGTCATATCAACTTCCTCTGATATCATAAAGCATTAGACAGGAAATGAACTCCACCATCTGTAAACACAGCCTCCGATCACCTTCTGTCATCTTGAGCACATCTGAGTTAATCATGTGAACTTCCTGTTAGCCGTGGAAGGAAAGCCCACACAGGTTCTCCCTGCCAGCCTGATGGACACAGCGGGCTCCGCGGGCCTTTCCTGCTGGAAACCAACATGAGGCGCCAATCAGATCTTTCTGTGGAGAAATGTTCTCAGATGGATTTTTTTAGGTCTAATGTCTGACTCCAAGCATCCATCCTGATTTTTTCTTTTTACACATCTCAGCATTAAAATAAAGAGTAATTTGGTGTCAGGCCTTATGGCAGTGATTGTTCTTGTCGGCAGGCTGAGACTCTAATGTAATGCTTAGAAGAAATCAATGCCTGGATGTGCCATAATTTTCTTCAACTGAATAAAAAACAAAACTGAAGTAATAATCTTTGGACCAATAGAGGAGAGATCTAAAGTTACCTCACAGCTTCAGTGGCTTCAGCTAGTAACCACTGATCAGGCCCGAAGTCTAGGTGTAGTGCTGGATTCAGACTTGAACCTCCAAAAGCATTTAAAGACAATTACAAGGTGGGCTTTCTATCACCTGAAGAACATTTCCAGGATTAAAGGACTAATGTCTCAGCATGATCTGGAAAAACTAATCCATGCGTTTATTTTTAGTCGAATTGATTACTGCAACGGTGTTTTCACAGGTCTGCCTAAAAAGTGGATCAGACAGCTGCAGCTGATCCAGAACGCTGCTGCCCGTGTCCTCACTAAGACTAAGAAAGTAGAGCACATCACCCCAGTTCTAAAGTCCTTCCACTGGCTCCCTGTATCTCAGAGAATAGACTTTAAAATCCTTCTGTTAGTCTATAAATCTCTGAATGGCTTAGCACCTAAATGCATCACAGACTTGCTATCAGTGTATCAACCCTCCAGACCACTCAGGTCTTCTGGCTCCAGCCTGCTCTGCAGACCTAGAACCAGAACTAAACATGGAGAAGCAGCATTTAGTTCCTATGCTCCACTTATCTGGAACAAACTTCCAGAAAGCGTAAAGCCTGAGTTCCTTTAAATCAAGACTAAAAACACATTTGTTTAGGATTGCCTTCCACTGTTCTAGTTAAACAGTTCAACCAAAACATATTTTCTTTAGTCCAACTGTTTTTAACATTCTTTTTTTGTTTTTTGCCTTTTTAATTGTATTTTATAAAAAATTTTTTTTCCTACTTGCTTTGATTCTTTTTTTATCTTCCTATATTTTAATCATGTAAAGCACTTTGCATTGTCTTTGTACTGAATTGTGCTATACAAATACATTTGCCTTGCATTGCCTTGCCTAATTTAGGAGTAAAGGTCATATATTTCCCAACTGTATCACAACTTCATTTCCGTTCTTTCGTTAATGCATTCTAAAATGAAAATCCATAACTTTATTAAATCAAACCAACAAAACAATCTCTTTGATACATGTGGACACACTGGCATTAAAATTTGAAATCAAAATTTCCCTTTAAGGATTAATTAGTTAAAGCAAAATAAACAAAGAACTGGTTCCACTGGAGCCTGCCCACCTCTCCGTAGATAACCAAACATTTTTAAGCCACTGTAAATTTAAAACATCCATTTTTAGTATTACTACGCATTTGAAATTAAATTTACTGAGAGTTAATTTAGTTCTGTAAAGTGGATAAGGGATTAGAGGAATGGAAAAAACCACAGAAAATGATTCCTCGTCTCATTGGTTCTATCTTGGCGAAACTGTGGCTCCAACTTTCTTATAGCTCATCCTAAACAGTTTGGTTATCCTGAGCTGTTTTCTCTATCTGTGCTGCTAGATGTTTGGGCTGAAGGATCACATGGGGACGTCTTTTCCTCTTTCTACTTGATTTTATTTCTATTCTCTCATGCTGGAATATTTTTCAAGTTCCACTCATAACTTTATTCTCTCTCCGCTTTTTAATGCCCCAGTCGCTTCATCTGGTCTGTTCCCGTTTGGCTGTGACTCAAACCTGGATTGAATATCGGCTCAGTTGGAATTCATGGGCTGCATCTTCCAAGGACGCGGCCTACCTGGAATGGATCCTTAGAAGTCCTTGAAAATGAGTAGAGAAGAGTTTTGGCTGTGAATTCAAACAGGTCTACCCTTCGGCGGCTTTTACTGCCGTTAGCAACCACGACTGTTTCTTTTTAATTTTTGTTTCTTTTTTATTGTAAAGTGAACAAAGACTGATGAGAATCCAGAGTGGAATAAAGGTTCCAACCAGCAGGAACCAATCAAATCAAATGTAATGATTGATTTCTATCTTAGTCAGTTAAATAACCTGCTGCTGTCATTCTGCACATCTCTGATGTTGCTGCTATTTTCAAATTACTGTAAAAATGTCCATAGCTGCATATTGCTTATTTATTCTCCAGTTTTATATTGTTAAAACACTTTACAGGATTTTATTGTTTTATCTTTTAACTCGCTATTATTTTATTGTAAGACATTTTTCTAAGGTCCACATTTGTGTGACCATTTCAATCATCTTTCTGCTGCTGTAAATTTGCAGATCGTGGGACAATAAAGATATTTTCTATTCAATAAAGAAGGACATTCAGGTCCATTTTGTTTCATCAACCTAGAATTATGTCTGAGCTCTAAGAACCAGAAAAGAATCTCCATAAGGACTAAAAATAAAATATGTAAAGATGCTGAGGTTGTCCTGACCCTGAGTTTCCCTCAGATCGACCCATAAACCAGCGTCTGTTTGGGCCTCATTCATCCTCTGAACTCTGATCAATTATCACTTTATTAGAAGCAAAGCCTGGAAGATGAACTGAAGAACCGGAAGTAAGAACTACGACTAACAAAATAAAAGCTTCCTCAGAGACCAGAAGAACGGGGCAGAACCACAGGAACCTTCTCCATGTCTGCGGCTCCATCATGCTGTGGGCCGCTGGTTCGCCTCAAACTGAGTGAAAAGAGTTTAAATCCCTGCAGTCTGATCCGGTGGGTTATATTCTGGCCTTTAAAGTTCTCTTCAGGTAATGTTTTCTATAATGACGTGTTTTAGAGTTTCCAGTGGATCAAGGTGGATCCCTTCAGTGATTCCACGGAACCAAAAGACCAAACAGTGAGTTTGTTCCGCAGAATCAGAACCTTTTACTCTGAAAGCCTCAGACTGGAAGCAGATCTGCTCCGATCGGGTGAGACCAGCTTTCCAGCAGTTCTCAGAGTTTGGACTTTGCAGCCGGACGTGTTGGATCCTGATCATGGACCTGGTCCCCCCCCTGCTCTGACCCCCCCACCCAGCTGGCCCCGCGGAGCTCCAGCATGCTGCATCCGGGAAACGAGTCCTCTCGCTGGTCTGAGGTCCAGGAGAGCAACCAGACCTCCGGGGAGCCCGGAGCGGAGGTGGTGATCGTGCCGGTGGTGTTCGGGCTGATCTTCGTGATCGGAGTGCTCGGTAACTCCCTGGTGATGCTGGTGATCGGCAGAGTGAAACCCAGCGGCGGTGCGCGCGCGCTCAGTCCCACCAACATCTTCATCGTCAACCTGAGCGTGGCGGATCTGCTCTTCCTCCTCTTCTGCGTCCCGCTCCACGCAACCATCTACTCCTTACCAGAGTGGGTATTCGGAGCCTTCCTCTGCAAGTTCGGTCACTTCTTCACCACGGTCAGCATGCTGGTCAGCATCCTGACGCTCGTGGCCATGTCCGTGGACCGTTACATCGCCGTGGTGCGCTCCAAGAGCTCCGCGTGCGTCCGGAGCCGCAGGAAAGCGCTGGTGGGGCTGTGCGTCATTTGGAGCATGTCGCTGCTGTGCTCGGTGCCGGTGGCTCAGAGCTATGTGCTCACCAGCCACCCCAGCGCCCCCAACAAAACATTCTGCTGGGAGATCGGCTCCGGGGCGTCGCGGCGCCCCTACAAGGTGTCCATCCTGATGCTGGGCTTCGTGCTGCCGCTGCTGCTCATCTGCTGCTGCTACATCAGGGTGAGTCCAGGCTAATGTTTCACTGCTGCTGCGGCTGTAAAACACGCGCTAAGAACACGAGCAGAGGCCAAAGGCCGCGCGCAATCCTGCTGAGCCGTGCGTAAAAACCTGCTTCAGGGGCGCGCGCTCACCTGCGCCGGCTCAGCGTCCCTAAATAAAAACAACAGGTGAACAGGAAGAGAAAAACAGCAACATCAGAAAGCAGGCGGCTCATGGGTTGAAATGGTTTTATGGTTGTTCAGAATGAATCATTGTAAAGTGGTTAAACTGGTTTATTATCAGGACACAAATTATGGAAAGAACAGAGAAACAGAAAAGTTAAGATTGGTTCGTTCATAGAGATTCATTCAGACAAAAAAAGAAGAACTTATTGAAATATGATTGGAAAAAAGTCAGGAAGAACCGCAGCCTGAATTTGAACGTCAGTAACATAAACAAAGAAAATGAAAAATTGTTGATTAGTGTTGATTAATCTAGGAAATGTTTTCTGCTCTTCATCCATCTTCTGACACTTCAGAGGTGCTTATCTCCTGCAGATTATGAGTGAAAGGGCAGGACACACCCTGGACGGGTCACTGGGTCACTGCAGGGCAACCAGCCACACTCACATACAGCCCTCCATGCACCAGGGAGACCCTACTGGGAGTGGAACCCTCAACCTAGCTGCTCCAAAGCAGAAGCTTTATTGTTCTCTGTCCTTTTTTCTTCCATTCTCACACTAATATCCTGACACAATAGTCTTTTTTTTTTTATTGATATACAACATATGTGTCAAAATCAAGGTCTGTGAGCCAAATCCGGCCTGCCAACAGTTTTCTAGTCCTAAAGAGAATCAAAATAAAGCATAAAATTAGGAGTTAAGTTTAAATAGATTAGATTAGATTAGATGAGCTTTATTGATCTCACAGCGGAGAAATTCACTCCTATTGGCATAGTAATAAAAGAAGGTGCAAACAAGGAGGAAAAAGGTGCATTAAGAAGAATAAACAATATATATATATATATATATATATATATATATCTATATATATCTATATATATATATATATATATATATATATATATATATATATATATATATATATATCAAGTATATATATTTTATTTATTTATATAAATAAAACAGTGAACTCTTTGTTGGTGAAACGATAAAAGAAAAAATTTAATTTCTACAGCTGCAAACTGACCTTTTAAAGGAGCCCAGTCACGTTTTCACACTTTTCAAAAAATAGTAAAAAACATTCAATCCTGATAGAATAAGGTTATATACACCAAGCATTCTATTCAGTGTATTTCTATAGCTCCAATTCACATCATGTCATCTCAGGTCACTTTCCAGTTCACCAGATCATCCAGTCAGATTGATTCAAAGTTTTCTATCTAAGGAAAACCAGCTGATTGCATCGACTCATTGACCGGAATCTCTACTCATTGTTGTTGTTTTTTAGCCTAAATAGAATTCCAAACGTAAACAGAGGTGGCGCCATCTGCTGGCAGAATCAAAGAAGTACCAGAAAGCCAGACGCTGATTACTAACTGAAGCTCGATATTCCTGCAGTGCTTTGTCATAAAGCAAACAGCTCAGTGGGACTGAAGACTAACAGATAACGGAATAAACCAATCTAAAACTCTAAGATCCCAATTCTTTACAAACAGAAACAAGAACAAAGCAACAGTAGAAGACTGCTGCTGAATCTACCTATGATGTTGTTTGTACTTGGTCTATATAGGGGCCAGTCCCAATCTACCCCGTAACCCATGTTCCTGTCAGGGTAGTGATGTCCCAATTCCTCTTGTAGGGGTAGAAAACAAAACAAGAGGTAACAAACTAAATATTTTAAATGCTTACTTGGTGGGGAAGGGCCAGACACAATTTCCCAGAAAACATGGCGGACTGGGATCCTACTGAGCAACACACAGTTCTTTTTTAACTTTTGAAAGCTAAACAAGCCGTTGGCATCCCTGGGTTCACCAGATTCTAACAGACAGTGTTCTGGAGATAGGGAACAGCTAGGTATCAGTGCGAGAACACCGGCAGAGAGAACGAGAACCGAGACGAGGCGTCCAGACCTGTCCTCCTCTAGAGCTACGAAACCACAGTGGTAGATTGAAAAAGCCAGCTGGAGAAACGGTGTCAGAGCAAGGAGAGGCTACGGTTGGCCTGAGCTACTTATAGAGGCTAACTGTCGTAGGAGGACGTCAGTAGATGAGATTACTCCGCCAGGCAGATGGCCACTCTGAATATGGGGGAGAAGTTGCTGGTGGATGGGAGGGGGGGACAGTGGTACAATGGAGAAGTCTATCAGGGAGACAGAGGGTGGAGAGGCTACAGCTGGCCCCGCATCGTTTCTTGAGGCTAATTTTGGGAGATGGTAGGATTACAGCGGTGGATCCGTGTTGCCTGACAGACAAGCGCCGTAGAGCAGGAGAGAAAAGACATCCTCCAAGTCTGCGCTGGAGGTAGGACCATCAAACAGTCCTTCTGGGGCTAAACTAAGACACAACCTCTTAAGAGCATTCCCACACTTCATTTTTTGTAAATATTGTTTTTCTATCTTCCATTTTGATAAAAAAACAAAACAAAAACTCGTGTAATTTCTTGTATTCCGTAAAAGTTTAAAAAACAATCCCCTGGACTTGGTTTCCAAGATTTGAAGACGTTTCTCCACCTCTCCAGGAAGCTTTCTCAATTCAAATGTTTGGATCTGCAGTGAGTTTGAATCTTTATATAAACCAGGCCTTGTATTGCTTGGAAACGTGCAAATGGTAACTGATGAGCGGGTCGTTTGGTTCCATTGTTAGCCTGTAATACCTGAAACCTGTCTATGATTCTGAGGGTCGGTCGTTAAGGAGTTATTGTTCACCGGCTGAAAAGAGGAGGTACTTTGTTCCTCTGTGATGGGGTGGGGGGTGTGGTGATATCTGGAAGGGATCATGTCTACGATTGAATTGTAAGTTTTTGGAAGCTGGAATCTGAGTCCTCCTCCTCTGATTAAAGTTGGTTTTTCTCTCTTAACATAGATGGCTTCCTTCCTCTCAAACCACTTATTTTCTTTATCCAGAATGTGGACATTCTGGTCCTCAAAAGAATGTCCTTTGTCCACAAGGTGTAGATGTAGCGCAGAGTCTTGTCCAGAGGAGGGCGCTCTTCTGTGTTGGGCCATGTGTTATTTATTATGTGTTATTATGTGTTATTTTAAACATAATTTAACATTAAGATCAAATGCAGGTGTTTATGCATCCATGTTATGCATTGTCTTTTTCAATAAAAAACAAGAAAACAGAATATTTGTCCATTTTAAAATCTAAAGTGTTTTTGGAAGTAGAGAACAACAATCAGTTTGTTCCATAAAAATTAAAAAAATATGCACTGGACTTGGTTTCCAAGATTTGAAGACGTTTCGCTTCCTCTCCAGGGAGCATTTGAATTGAGAAAGCTTCCTGGAGAGGTGGAGAAACGTCTTCAAATCTTGGAAACTAAGTCCAGTGGATATTTTTTGAACTTTTACGGAATGACTATGACCTGGATGACTGAGAACCTTCATCAGCATAACAATCAGTTTGGTTTATAGATAATTTCCTGATTCCCATATTTTCTCAAACCCCTGAACTGATGGTTTGTTATTTTCTTTCTTTTTTCTGTCTTAATGTTGGCAGTGGGCTTTAGGCTGCCCTGCAAGGCTTTAAACCTGGGTTTAACCGGAGACTAAGCCATTCTCAAGCACATATCAAGGAGCTCATTCTGAGCCTGGATCCAGATTTATTGTTGATTCTGTTCATGGTGGAGAATCCTGCTTCACAGCAGCAGGTTGAGCCAAACATCCTCTAAATGTGCAGGGTCATCTTTGAGCACGCCATTTCACTTTTCTTTCACCAGTTCACCGCAGTTCTTCCAGCAGTCCACACTTTCTCTGCTCTCTTTTTCTCATCATCTTCTCCTTCTTTCCCATCGCCCGGCTTGCCACAGGTTTGCCTGCTGTGTCTAAAAGTAGCAGCAGCAGCAACCCAGACTGACAGCTCATTGGCTCATTTGGATCACGTGCAGCCTGGAGCCGGACGCTCCCCAGGGCTTTACCGTAATAACAGGAGAAGAGGGGCAAGTTAATTTAGACACTGTCATTGGACAACATGCAGTAATTATTAAATAAATATTTTTAATCAGATTGAATCCGGATTAGCCAGCCAGTGGGTCTGGATCCGGACCGCGGCCCGCTAATCTGTGACCTCTGTTCTAGAGAGGTGGACCAAGAACTGGACCTAGCGGCACTCCGCAGGATAATTGTGACCCAGGTGTTAGAATGGGGTAAAGTGAATCATCTAAAGGTTTAACAGAAGAGCCAATCTGTGATGCAAGAGGAGGAATAAAGAACCGCAGCCAGGATGTGTTGAACTCCATTTGTTAAGGCCTGCTGGTTAACTGGGATATTGATGCATCTGCAGAATGAACGCTGGTCCACATGGTCCAACACAATTGCATTAATTCTCATAGAAATGAATCAGGTTACAGATCAGATCAGTTTGTTTCAGGCTGCCCCTGCTGGTGGTCATAATATTGTGCCTGAACAGTTGGATTATTTTTTCTTAGAACAAACCGGCTCATGTAGAAAGTCCATCAGCAGGTTGCATCAGGTGGAGTCTCATCCGAAGGTGAGCAGATGGTCTGCAGACCATCCATCAGAGAATCCATGACTAAATGGAGCAAAGACGGGTTTAGTCTGCTGCTCCTAACTGTCTCCATGGTTACATACTGTTCTTCCATATGATTTAAAACCAGTTTATGGTGAATGAAAGTCAAATCGTTATGCATTTATCTGTGGGTTAAAGGATGTGATGGAAATCAGTGACCTTCAGATGTTCTGAGCAGGTTTCTGGATCAGATGATAACTGATTGCATGTCTGGGCTTTATTCCCGCAGGTTCTATGGCACCTCCACAAAAAGATGAAGAACATGTCCAAGAGGTCTGAGCTCTCCAAGAGAAAGGTGAACTTTTCCTCCTCTTCTATTCAGCCGCCTTGCTCCTGGTCAGAGATGAAACCATCAATCACCTGATTGATCACTGAACTCATTCAGTAATCTTATTATTTTTAAGCTCCGGCATCTAAAAGAGGTCATTTGCTGAAAGAACAAATCAAAGCAATTTCACAAAACATAAAAACACTTTTGCATTTAAGATGGAAAAACTTTTTTCGTTTGCGTTTGAGCTCCATCCAGAACTCCTCAGCTAGAAGTTTTAGCTTCACCAGGTTCTGATTGTGAAGAAAATCTGCTATGCAGCAACATCTCCTCTGATTCAGTCCATCCATCTTCTACCGTTCCTTCATCAGCGTAAAGGGGCTAGCGCCTGTCGGTAGCAGCTTATGGCTGAAAAGCGGGTTTGCCCTGGAAAGGTTCCGGTCCAATCAGGAAATAATCAGGAAATAATTGTTGATTAATCGAGGGGAACCAAACAAATAGTTTAGTTTCTGCTCTGCTGAAGTCATAACCAATCAAAGCAGAACTTTGTCTGCAGCTCAGTACGTTTATTCAAATGGAACCAGTGAATGCTGATGTGGACCCAGAACCAGACCAGAACCAGGTTTCTTATTCCGGTTTACTTCCATCCCTGCATGCAGAGAGTGGGATAGACTTTCTGTATTAGAACCGGATGGATGCCACTCTGAGGACCGGAAGTGGAGCTATCACCATGTGGGATGGAGTCCTTCTAAAATCTAGATCCTGGTTCTGCTCTAAGTCTGAATAGAGGCTCAGTCCACGGTCCAGGCTGTGGATCTGATGCATCAGACTGGGCCCTGGCTGGCAGGCGACAGTGTGCAGACGTCCTGCAGCAGCAGATCACAGATCAGCTGGAGGCAGACAGTTTACAGCAGAGGTTCTGCTGCTCCTCGGTTCGCTGCAGGGGAACAAAGGCTGCTGGGTAAATATTTAGACAGCAGAACTAAGAATAGAGGAGATCCCCTCTGACAGCCGTCACGGTTTCATTCACAGAACGAGATCTTGGCACTGCCTCAGCCGGAGAGCTGACAGCAGCCTTGGTCCACGCCGCGAGGAACGGCAGAGATCATCAGGGTTCCTGGAATAATACCAGCCGCTGTGAAGTTTTATGGATCTGCCGAGAATGATAAGAGACATTATTAATTCTGCTGAACCACACCAATAAAAAACAAACACATCAAGTCATAAAATATAACCAGAGTTCATTAAGTAATCCTGTCAGAAATGATAATGAGCCGCTGGAAATGGGTCACACATCGACCCAGAAAGGAGCCGTTTACACTTTATGACTCCTTAAATAAACTTTCCTTCAGACCTTCGGTTTCACTGAACGCTCCAGTAAATCCAGACAACTTGCAATTTCAATCGGCTTGATGTGAAACCTCTGAAGCTGTTTACGGTCGGATCAAATCACAGAAGCTGGAGGCGGAGTTCGGAAGTTGTTCGGAAGTGGTTCTCTGCTAAAACACCAACAGCTTCATTCTGGTCACCAATAGAGCCTGATGTGGTGCAGCTGAGGACAAACAAAGATTCACCAAACAAAGAAAAGATACAGGTGCTGGTCATAAAATTAGAATATCATGAAAAAGTAGATTGATTTCAGTAATTCCATTTAAAAAGTGAAACTTGTATATCATATTCATACATTACATACAAACTCATATATTTCAGATGTTTATTTTGTTTAATTTTGATGATTACAAATGACAACAAATGAAAATCTCAAATTCATCATATCAGAAAATTAGAATATTACTGAAGACCAATAAAAACAAAGGATTTATAGAAATGTTGGCCAACTGAAAAGTATGAACATGAAAAGTATGAGCATGTACAGCACTCAGTATTTAGTTGGGCCTCCTTTGGCCTGTATTACTGCAGCAATGCGGCGTGGCATGGAGTCGATCAGTCTGTGGCACTGCTCAGGTGTTATGATAGCCCAGGTTGCTCTAATAGTGGCTTTTAGCTCTTCTGAATTGTTGGGTCTGGTGTATTGCATCTTCTTCTTCAATATACCCCATAGATTTTCTATGGGGTTAAGGTCAGGAGAGTTTGCTGGCCAATTAAGAACAGGGATACCATGGTCCTTCAACCAGGTACTGGTAGCTTTGGCACTGTGTGCAGGTGCCAAGTCCTGTTGGAAAATGAAATCTGCATCTCCAAAAAGTTGGTCAGCTGCAGGAAGCATGAAGTGCTCTAAAACTTCCTGGTATGTGGCTGCGTTGACCCTGGACCTCAGAAAACACAATGGACCAACACCAGCAGATGACATGGCACCCCAAACCATCACTGACTGTGGAAACTTTACACTGGACTTCAAGCAACGTGGATGAAGTGCCTCTCTTCTTTTCCTCCAGACTCTGGGACCTTGATTTCCAAAGGAAATGCAAAATTTACTTTCATCAGAGAACATGACTTTGGACCACTCACCAGCAGTCCAGTCCTGTTTCTCTTTAGCCCAGGCAAGACGCTTCTGACGCTGTCTGTGGTTCAAGAGTGGCTTGACACAAGGAATGCGACAGCAGAAACCCATGTCTTTCATACGTCTGTGTGTGGTGGTTCTTGAAGCACTCACTCCAGCTGCAGTCCACTCTTTGTGAATCTCCCCCACATTTTTGAAGGGGTTTTGTTTCACAATCCTCTCCAGGGTGCGGTTATCTCTCTTGCTTGTACACTTTTTTCGACCACATCTTTTCCTTCCCTTCGCCTCTCTATTAATGTGCTTGGACACTGAGCTCTGTGAACAGCCAGCCTCTTTAGCGATGACCTTTTGTGTCTTGCCCTCCTTGTGCAAGGTGTCGATGGTCGTCTTTTGGACAACTGTCAAGTCAGCAGTCTTCCCCATGATTGTGTAGCCTATAGAACTAGACTGAAAGACCATTTAAAGGCTTTTGCAGGTGGTTTGAGTTAATTAGCTGATTAGAGTGTGGCACCAGGGGCCATCAATTTTGAACCTTTTCACAATATTCTAATTTTCTGATATGATGAATTTGAGATTTTCATTTGTTGTCATTTGTAATCATCAAAATTAAACAAAATAAACATCTGAAATATATGAGTTTGTATGTAATGTATGAATATAATATACAAGTTTCACTTTTTAAATGGAATTACTGAAATCAATCTACTTTTTCATGATATTCTAATTTTATGACCAGCACCTGTATCTTAATCACACAACATTAGAAATAAGTCCACTTTCTCCTGTGTAGCACATTTCTTTCTTTTTCTGAGCTTTTGCAAAGTAGTGATGCTCTAAGGTGAGTCCATCCAGGCTCAGACTGGTGATCTGTGATAGCGGCATTTACCCGGTGGGTCGGTCCTAGTTTCAGCGTGCGAGGGTCGGCCCTCTTTCAATCAGCGGCTCCAACACTTCCTCTACCTGTGACAGTAAATAACTGAAGGAGCTCATGAACTAACCCAATGTTAACCACCTAAATGATGCATGCAGTATATAGAGCCCTTCCTTCATGCTCACCCTGTCATGTTTGGGTTCTGGTTCCTAGCCCACATGCAGAACACACACACAGAGACTGGGGAAAAAGTTCAAAGGTTTAATTAATAAATGGTACAGAAAACAGATCAGGGGGGGTAATCAGGTCCAGGGCTGGTCACGACTGGGTTACTGTTCTGGAGATTGAGCAGAGCGGCAGAGGGGGGAACCAGGAGGGTTCAGAGGCTGTCGGCAGGCTGAGGGCTTGGTGGAGGCTGAGCTTGGTAAAGAGCTTGTAGATCACCAGGTTTGAGTTTCCCTTCCAGATTCTTCTGAGAGCCGGCTGGCAGGTCATTGGCAGGTTAACAGATCTTTGACTGGTTTGGTTCTCCAGGGTTCTTCTGAGATCAGACAGACAGATTTCCAACAGAGAAACTCTTCAGGGGGTTTCTGGTTTCAGACGGGTTCAACCTGGGAAGCAGAGAAGACAAAATGGATCAGGTTCAGGTTACAAAGTCAGGAGACAAGACAGGCAGGTTGGCTCAGGGTTTGCTGTACCATAACTGACTAACACTCTGGCACTGGAGTGTTGTCCGCAGCCTGCTTAAGTACTGGTCTCCTGATGAGCAGATGAGAAACAGCTGGTGAAGTCAGCTCAAGCTTCAGGAGATCCAATACGCCCTCTGGTGGAGAAAGGTAGACAGAACCCCAGATCCCAACAGTAACATAAAACCCCTAGGAAGGGATCCTCGGCGCCCTCTGGTGGGCAAGCCTCAGAATCCCAACACATCCTTGTGACCATTGGCATATGGTGTCATTTTCTATTTCTTCAAACTGTAAAATCTTTGCAATAAACTAAATTATAATAAAACTAAAATGCTTTCTTTAAACCAAACTACGATGTTCCTCTTGAATTTGGTGAATTTATGTTAGAATATTTTGCAAAACTATGTTGTGGTGCATGATGGAGTTTTGCATCTAGAGGCTAACGTTTCCTGTCTTCCGTGCATTGTTGCCAGGTTGGGATGCTTCGGAAAATCGTTCCCAGTCTGAGACCAGCTGTGGGGCTCTGGTTGCCTTTTCCTCTCTTTGCTCCTTCTCTTTCTGAATTTAGAAAACTAAATTGATCAGAGTTGATATTCAAGGAAAACTAAAAAAAATTCACAGGAGGTTCAGGGAACGCATAAGTTTATAAGTTTGAACTAAGCTTTGATGTGCAAGTGTCCTGCTGACATTTAGTTTGTATTCTGATGTTCTAAGAAAGGCGACTGATATAAAGCAGCAGGAAATGGAAATGAGTTGATTTAGTTTGTTTTACAGTGTAGAATCACATCAATGATGTAAAAAATGGAGAAAAGCTTCTGGTAAAAAAATAACGACTGAAAGCTACTGGCTGCAGTCGCACTATGTTGGAATATGAATGGATGAATGAAGGATGGATTTATGGATGGATGAATATATAAAATCCATTTCAGTTTATTTATATAGCAGCAATTCACAGCACATGTCATCTGAAGGCGTTTTACAGAGAATTGAATCAGATTATCCTGATGGA